TCTTCAAACCGACTGCTCTCTTTAATATCAAATGCAGAAACAACATTCCATTCCCATGCAGAAACAACATTCCATTCCTACACTTTTATTTGCTAAAAAAAAGCAAGCCCATTCCCCAGAAAGCAGGGCTCACCATCCGGCCAGGGAGGCGCAGAACCAACACTGCACCTGGCACAGCGCCTCGTCCTTCACCTCCTCACTTGGTGGCCGATTTGATCTTCTGGATGGTGTAGGGACTGGATTCCTTGGGCATCCACATCTCCTCCCCACCACGGCCCTGCTGCTCGGCCGCTCCCTCCATGGCTGCTGTCAGCTCGGGGCTGAAGATGCTCTCAGTGGCACGGTAGGCGCGGGTGAGGCGGCGGAAGGAGGAGTCGGAGGAGCTGTCGTCAGGCAGGTCTTCATCCTGCTCATCCCGCAGTTTGGTCCTGCTTGCCTCTGAGCGGCCATCTGGGCCCAGCAGAGCCTCCCTGGCCTCCCGCAGGAAGGCAGCCTTGGGGCTGACGATGCACAGCAGCACAGCGAGGCCCGCTGACACCCCGCAGAGGAAATACAGAGCGACTTTTTCAGGGACATCTGGTGGGGGAGAAGAGCAAAGAGAGGCATCGGGGTGCACACCCTGCTGTAACACACAGGGTGCCTGGGCCTGGAGACCCCCCACCAACCCAGTACTTTGGGGCCACGTACCCCAGAGGTGGGCAAAAGCTGCCAGGGAGCTAGTAAAAATCATCCTGTCTTCCCGGAGCCTGGAGAACCTGGGCCCTTTGTACCAGCCACCTGCAGTGAACAAGGGGACGTGAAGGGCCACCTCCCCTTGGGGTGTCTATGTGCCAGACCCCTTCTTTTCCCCAGCAGAAAACACCCTTTTTTGCTCAGAGGTGGATTGCAATGAGGTTCCCCATCCCTATGGGGCATGAGACAGTTTCCCCTCTGCTCCCCAAATTACCGTGCATGTAGTTTGAGAGCAGGAAGGGATCCGAGGTGTCTGGTCCCACCTCCTCCAGCAGTTGCTTGGGCACTGCAATGAGATACGCCGTCCCAAGTGTCACCACCCCAGGGGTGGGGGACACGCAGCCTCCCCAGCCCCGCAGTCCCACTCTCACCACAGGTGTAGGACACCCGCAGCTGCTTCCTCGTGCCAGGCAGGCACGGGTCCCCAAAGTTGGCCTGGTCAGCAGTCACTGTGCAGTTCCCTTTGCGGTGACACTTCTTGGAGACCCTCCGCAGTGCATCCGGAGCCAGGCACTCTGCAGGGACACGGGACCTCTGGCCATCAGCACAGCACTGAGCACAGCTCCCAGCCACGATTCGGGCTGCAACCCCGTCCCCCTCGTACCAATATGGGGTCCCCCGGCGTTGGGGGCATCGCACTCAGGTTTGCCCCGCAGGAATCGTCCATAGTGTGCAGAGTAAATGGCCAGGACGGATTTTGGCCTGCAGTGCAGCCTCAGCTCGTTGTTCTCACACACTGTCTTCACCCGATGGTTGTCTGGGGAGGGCGGGAGTGAGGAGAGGGTGACACCGTAAGGTGACCCAACGTGACACCACAAACCTTCTCCTCTTCCCCAGCCCTGGGTTCCCGTGGGTGCTGCCCACCTGGCCGGCACTTGTAGGATGCGATGAGGTACTTGTGTGTGCCAGGGCACGGGTCCGGCCCAAACACCTGGCTGTGCACCGAGAACTGGCACCACTGCTGGTCCTGACACTCAGCCAGAAGCTTCTGCAGGACAAAGCAGGGTGGGTGTGAAGCTGGTGGAAGGACCCCGGGCTGTTGTCACCTCTATGCTGTCACCTCTGTCCTGTGGCTGATGTCACCCCCACGGTGGCCACGTGTCTCGTGGGCAACTTTGGTGGCCACATTTTGTGCTGCAGTGCAGGTGTGCATGCCTGCAAGGTACCATGAACACTTTGCTCCATGCAATGTCTATGCTGCAAGCATGCAGGCGTGCAGACTCCGCTTCCTGCAAGATCCATGCATGCAGGCAGGCACACTCACACGGCTCCAAGCGACACCCTTGTAAGCATGCACAATCACAGAGATCCATGCAATGCCTGTGCAGGCACGCACATTCGTGTAGCTTCATGTGATACTCATGCACACTGACACAGCTCCACGCAACACCTT